AAGTAATTACACCATTTCAAGCATTTTATCTGCGTTATATGTTCTGTAAAAAAATGTTCATATCAGCGGCATATTCGCCGATACCGATATATCGGCGACAGGCTCATATCGGCCGATAATATCGGCAAAACGATATATCGGTTGGGCTCTAGTCATAATAACCAGCTACAAACATTACTATGTCTGCAAATAATTTTCTTTGATTTTGTCAAACATTTGTTTGACATACAGATATCTTCTATAAGAAATATTCTTTAGCCTGGTTAGGATAAGGTGTTAAGCAGATTGCCAATTCAGGAATCCAGGACTCTGTGCTTGCATTTTTTTTATATGCTCCGACAAACATTTAGACACAGGTAAAGATGCTTGATTCATAACAAAGGTCATTAGATCCTTTCAATTGCACTGACAAGAACAACATATCTATCTATCTATCTATCTATCTGTCTGTCTGTCTGTCTGTATGTGTGTATGTGTGCATATATTCATTCTACTATTCAAATGTTGGGGTCAGAATAACTTTCTTAAAAAATCCAGCAACTGTTTTCAACATTGATAATTAGGGATGCACCGATACTGGTATCGGGCCCGATACTGAGCTTCAGTACTCGTACTCGTTAAAATGCCCCGATACCAAACGCCGATACCACACAGCATGTGATAAGTGCCATATTCAAACAAAGAAATACCGACAACAGAGAGCAGAATGGGGTTATTAGAGATGTCTACGAAGTATATGTATGCAATGAATATAAAACATTCGGTATTAATGCCTGTATAGCCGATTTGCGCCAGCTGGTAGGCAAATCACGCTGAGTGGATTGAGCGCACGGCGGCGCAGATGCGCGAGCTTGTCGAGTGAATAGCCCTTTCTCACAGACATCACTGGAAAGCTTGTAGTTCGGTCGGATATGTCAAAAAGAAGTAAAACAATGCACAAGTTACTTAATGGTAGGTAGGGAGGAAGGGAGAGAGAGAGAGAGCGCGCACTTCTGTTGTGTGATCTTGATGTTCGCTCACTTAACACGCATAATTTGGATTAAAAGTAAATCGTAAATATAAGAATTTATAGGGGCATTCACTATAAACGTCATTTATTTTCACACTTACACGACTTTCTGGCGAAAGTGAAACTAACAGCCTGTGTGAAATTTTGAATTTTTTTTTTTTTTTTTTTTTATAAATGTTTTGACCCTGTAAGGTTTAATGTAAATGTCATGACTGGACCTCCGTTTGAAAATGACAGATAATTTAGGCCACTTAAACCCCGCTTTTACAATGTACAATCTACAACGCCCACATCTCCAATGAACAACCGAGTGTTTGTGCACTCCTTATTTTTTTTATAATAGTAATATGCCTGTACACTAATTTACCAATCCTACTTAGAAATCTTTGATCATTAAAGGGGTCATATGATGCGATTTCAATTTTTCCTTTCTCTTTGGAGTGTTACAAGCTCTTGGTGCATAAAGAAGATCTGTAACGTTGCAAACACTAAAGTCTCAAAACCAAAGAGATATTCTTTATAAAAGTTAAGAGTTAACCACGCCTACCTA